TGCTACAATGTTATACGGGAATGATTTGGGTTTGATAATATAGGTATTAATTATAATTCATCTACTGGTAAAATGTGGCAGGCTAATTATGAGTTCAGTTTATTGAACGGTATGGACTTCTAGATGATTATCATTCAGCTTAATATTTATTTGGGATTTCCACCACTGAAACAGAGCGCCGAATTTAGTTCATGATTAAAGAAAATTGACCAGTTGATTAAACAAGCATTTGATAAGTTCTCTGTTACAGAACAGATTCATGCTACTAAAATCTTTAAGTTAAAAAACTGAAAAATTTGGAATTACTTTTACTAAAATTTTTTAAAAACAATACCCAAACTCTGTCATATTTTTAGACACTGATTTTGCATTCCATGCACAACCCATAGGAGGTACAGGGAGTTTCCAAAGAATGCACAATCATGTCCTAATTATGATTTGCAAAACAGTTATGAATAATATTACTATCTTATAATAATATAAGTTTATCTTTATAAGCATGGAAAAAAAACTTAATAACAGCTGATAAAAGAAAGTAAATAACTGCTGTGCATTGTTAGGTGATAGCAGAGAAAAATACCTACTGTATAACATCTTCATTATTTATAATAGTTGCTTCATATCTTATAAATTCTTCAATTATTTTCCTGGATTTTTGAGTAAAACCATCAATCACATCTGTAGAAGAAGCAAACATATAGAAAATAATAATGCAATTAATTGTAAAAATAAGGAAGCTACATGAATACTTTTTTTTCTAATTCTATCTTTTTTTAAAATTCTTACGTGGATCAGCCGTTTTTTCTTCTGGGTAGATGTTACGGATATGGTGGATCACCTGTTCTGTTACTGCAGTGCTGTTATTAATTTGCTGCAAGAGTTTTTCAATGATTTGAAGATCCCGATCCACAGAAGTGTGATAGGTACTGAAAAAGTCTGCAATACCACATGTGGTTGGGCAATAGCTACCCTGTAGGAAAAAGAATAATTAAATGTGTTCATCATCATTATTAGAAACACCTAGGGCTAGGTCTACTATGAGGCAAAACAGGTCAGTCAATGTTTGGGGGAAGAAAATATCTAGTCAGGATTTAACTAGGCAACTGTGGACAAATGTTACAAATAGGAGCATGTTTTTCCCTTTGCTGCAGCCTCAGAATCTACCAGACACAGTACTCTCATACTGAATATAAGTATGTGCTATTATTAATAATTGGTTTTATAGCACATTAGAGAACAATGTATGCTTTTATAACATAATACAGTTTAATAACAAGTATTTAAAATAATGCGCCTTAAAATAATTTTACAAATAATAATACGTATCAACAGCAATGTACAAGAGAAGAATCATAAATCTACTTACAAATCGTTCATCTAAGATGCAGCAATTATCTTTGGAAGGCGGATACTGAGGGGGAGAAACAACAATGTTATTTTAAGCAATTTTTCTTCTCATTGTACTTTTCAACACTATTATTTTCTAATGGTAAGTTTGTAGTTTCACTTACTCCTGTGCAAGAGGAAAAGAGTAAGGACAGGAGAGGCACAGTAGCCCAGTTGTGCAACGTCAGTCCCATTATGCCTATACTAATGTGTGCTCCCCGCTGGTTTGTGTAGCCAGTGGCTGAAGGGACTCTATCCCTGTGCACAGGGTAAGACTGAGACAGCCAGCTTTATGGGCCACTGGAATCTGATCTTGCTTGCTACACACCACTGGGGCTTAAGGGGCAGGTCAGGGGGTGGGAACAGTGATGCAATAGTTTGGGGTGGGGCTACTGCGTGGGAGAACAGCCTCTCAGTAACCTTATGGTGGATTCCCAGAATTTGAACACCAGCATCTGCTCCTCACTGTTTTAGCAGCAGCTTGCCATTCACCCATGCCACCCACTTTGTACCCAGGCTGTTCTTAGGATCTGTAGAAAGGTAAAGAGAGGCATGGAGCAACCATGTCCCGTAACACAAAAGTAAACTAATACATGACTGAACAGTACTGAAATGGTACCTGAGGTGAGTTGATTAGCTCAAGGACAAGCCACAGTAACTCTTAAAGACAACTGGTAAATGTTAGAGATGACAGTAATTTAACAAATAACAATGAAACCTCACTCTTATCAGCAGATCTCAAAGTGCTTCAGAAGGGAGGTATCATTATCTCTATTGCACATATTGAGGAAACTGAGGCACAGGGCAGTGACATGACTTGCCTGAACTTGTCCCTGGAAGACAATGACAGTAGAGAACAGGGACACTCAGCTCCATTCCCAGCTCTGTTACAGATTTCCCATTTAATCATCATTTTATCTATTTGTGCCTCAGTTTTCCAAAATAATGGCAACGTCCTTTTGCAAACATCATCTCTGTTGCTCTAAGTACATCTCTCTTCTTCTTTTTTGCCAGTCTCATCTATTTGGGTTACAGTTTCTTTGACCAAGGCTAATTTTTTACTTTGTGTTCCTAAAATGGCTAGCGTAATGGGGCCCTTATTTCAACTGAAATCTCTAACAATATTTGGCTAATGAATAAATGGCAGAGGGAAGGTGGCATATTAACTGGGAAAAGAAACACTAAGTTCTGTTACTGGCCTACTATATATATATCTCGTTAAAATGGAGATAATGGTGCCTACCTCCTTTGTGCTTTGAAGTCTATGGACAAAAACATAAGATAGAAGCTTGATATTATTTTTGCTATGGCCTGAAACATGAAGGCTTATGACCCCTATATTTTGTGCTCTTTAATATAACTATAGGAAAGAAAATATCTAATCTTTTTTTGTATCCTCATAAACTCTATGTTAACAGGTTGTATCTTCATAAACTCTAGCTCACAGGTTTTAGAAGGAGATTGCACTGTGACACAGGTGGTTGATCCTGTTTTCCAAATACACACAGCTGAATAAATAAATATGGCTAAAAGCCAAACAGCAGTTGTGATGCATTCCCCTAATTGCTAGTATAGAAGTGGTCAGGCCAATATCAGCTATAGCTTAAGAAGAAGTCATTGCTTACAGTCTCTTCTATAGTGTTTATAGCAAGTCACCTGCCACTGGTAACCCATAATTCTTCCTTGTTGCTTTGTAAGCTCTGATGACTTACTGGAATAAGGGGGATACAGAAAGCAGAGCATCCACAGCTATGGAAAGCACAGATAACAATAGACACAGATAACAAAAGTAGTTCAATGGCTAAGCAATAAGCCTAGATACATCTTGTGAAATAACTAGATAATCTCTAGTCATAACTATATACTCTAAACCAGTGATTCTCAACCCTAGGGTGCCTTGAGATCCTTTTATGGGGGGCTATGGGGTGCTGCACAATGTTAGCGCTGTTAGGTGTGCAAACATTATTCATGAGATAAACCCAGAGTTTTTACACAGGAATCCACAGTATTAAAAACATTCTGACCTGTTGTGATCTAAGTTCTTTGCACTAGAAGAATTGCTCTATTATTTTTAGATTAAATATGTCCTTCCCTTCTCCACAAATGACATTCTACCCAGCTCGCAACTTCCCCAAGGAGCCCTCCATGACAGAGAATGGGAGAAATTATTTTGACTTTTATATGTTCTAGGCATAAGTTTCAGGGTACAGAAAAGATTTCAAGGGTCTGGATTGCTGATGAAAACTATTAGAGGCAAGGTAAAATGGAAGACAAGGATGATCACAGCTATGGAAGGATTTCCATATTAGGTGAGAGATTAAATAGGTTGGGACTTTTCAGCTTGCAAAAAAGACACTTGAGGGGGAACATGATAACAGTTTACAAAATATTAAATGGTACACAGAAAGTAAATGGTGATTCATTATTTACTCTCTGTCTCTAGTATCTCTCACAATACTACAACTAGGGGCCATAACATGAAACTATTAGGTAGCAGGTTTAAACCTAACAAAAATAAGTTGTTTTTCATACAGTATACAATTAAACTATGGAACTCATTGCCACTAGATTTTGTGAAAGCTAGTAGCTTAACCTAGTTCAAAATGGGATTGGACTAGTTCTTGGAGGAAAGATCCAATAGAAGATATTGAATATGGTAGACAGTAGTACAGCCTCTGAATCATAACTTTCAAATGTATCAATGCTGGAAGCTTCAATGATAAAGGAGCAGGGGATGGGAAATTCTGGACATGATATATTCACCTCCCCCCTCAACATCCACCCTGCCACTGAGAGAGGCAGGGGATGGGGTTAGAAGAACCTTTGGTCTAATCCAATAAACAACATTTCTTACATGCTTATGTAAGAGTTATTATTTTAAAATATTTGTTACCAGAAAATATTTATCAGGATATAATGCAACACTTCTTAAGCAAGTAACTTTTAACTGCTACTCCACTAAGAAAGCATTCATTATTATAATTTGATGCTCATAGTCAATTTGGTTGATTGAGTTCAGAAACAATATGATTGTCAGAATAGTTCCTACTGAAGACATTTGAGAAACAAATTTTCAGTGAAAACTTTGCATTTCCTCACAATTATACAATTAGTATATGGAGCTATACTCTATTGAGGGGTGAATTTCACACTTTTTGTAGGAGTATTATATATCTGGGTTTTTTTAATAGTGCTACTATGCAGCTCCCAGTTTATTCTTTAAATATTTACACCTCATTAAATAGTTACTGTATTTTGCAGCCATTTAGGTAGTCATGCTATACCCCTGAATAGTTAGCTCCATTGTATTTATGTCTCCTATACTTTTTCTCCTGAGCTGTCATTTTGTATAAACCTGGAAACAATTATTCCTCCTGGTTTTTCACTTGTTCCAGATCTGACATTGTGCATATTTAGCACAAAGGCTATTTAGTGGGTTTTCCTCCTTTACATGTCTGTGACGTCGGTGGCCCCACGTCCGGTAACACCCTTCGTCAGGTAGCCCCTCCCCTTGTCCCGCCTGCCACGACTTTGATGTTATGGGTGATTCGAAGGAGGGGTTCAGTGGAGCTCTTTTACCAGAGGGGTTTCCCCGACGCGGGTGTACTCATGATTGAGGTTTCCGTTGTTCCACGGGGCTCCGCCACCCCTACACCCCATCCACTCGCCAACCGATCACTTGCTGGTGAGATGGTAACTTGCTGCTATTCACAGGCCTGCTGGCCGGTAGATGCTCCTGACCGTACGGACCCAGGCTAATGGTCGCCTTAAGTCAGCCTGCCTTAGGATCCTGCTGCTCCCACAGCTAGCTTGGGTCGTCTCCCTTTTCCTCCCCTGATCTTAGAAATAATATTCCTCTGGGATGGGGAGGCTTCCTGGAACAACGTTTTGGCCCTGGCAATCCCTGGGGACCACACCTTCCGCCCCTGCCAAGGTTCCCGGTTTTTGCTCCAGCTGTTGAGCTGAGGCAGAGCTGCCTGTCTGAGGCATTCGCTCCAGGGGAGCTGCAGCACCGCCAGCGTGCTGCCTGTCTCCTCTCTCCTTCCCTGGCTCCCCCCTACCACAGGGTTTGCTGGGGTTTTTAAACTTCCCCACAGTGGCTGCTGCAGCTGCCGCGATTGGCTCAACTGTTACCCTTGCCAGGAACAGCTGTTTAAACAGCCAGCGTAATGCCGGCTCACGCGGCTGGAATGGAGGGTTGCGGCTGCTGCCGCGGTCCCGGCTCCGACGCCACCATCCCTCTCGAGGGTAAGTAGCTCGGCCCGGGGTTTTCTTGAGGGGTTGTTGCTGCCCCCCAATCTTCTCTGTTCCCTGCCTGTGCCCGTGACGGCGCCACGCCGCCACCACAATGTCTCTTTCTGTTAGCTCTGGATATATGAAAATTGATCTGTTTACAGAATTAATATTTTCTTAGAGAATGGATGATTCATGTTTTTGGAAATCTATTTGTGCTCGAGTATGTCCACAAAATGACTTGGCTGTATTGAGTTTTTGAGCAATTTTACCTTTCCTGTGGTTTATTTACTGATTTGCCAAGACATGATGAATGATTGATATAATGCAGACAAACAAAATATATTTTTAAATTCAGACTACCTTTTCTGTGACAGCAGAGGTGAAAACTATTTAATTAAAAAGGTTAGCTAATTTAGTTCAAAAGATTAGCAGATAAAACCAAATTCCCTCTCTCTCTCCTTATTTGTTATGTAAACATTGGGTTTTTTCAGTCACTAGGTCCTTGAAAAGCTATCCAGCACTTTCCCATTAGCAATGTAAAAACTTGATATTTAGAAAACAAAACAAAACCAGGAAATGCACCAATGTTTGTCAAGTAGTTACTGAAAGTAAAGACTTTTAAAAATTATCTTGGAAAAATAAATGTTTCTACTTATTTATCTATCTTAGATTTATTAATTTGATCTCTATGCATTGCTACATTTATCCTGTTGGAAAATGCCTATTGATGTAGGTTCCCAGTTAACATAGTGGCGAATGCTCAAAAATGGTCCTCAGAACTGAATGTGAAGAAACAGTGTTATTTTCTGGCTACTTTTGGGACATATTCTGATCTAACTTTCATTGATATAAATCTAGAGAACACCACTCAGATCAAGAGCATTATTTCAGATTCTCATTGTTAAAACAGATGTCAGATCCCGGCCTTTCACTGACAAACCTTGCTTCTGAGCTCAAGGCAGAGCAGTTTGAATAATTTATTCTTTATTTCATTGAAAATTTGAAAAATCAAATAAAGAAAAAATGTTTTGGGTCAATCAAAGGCTAATATTTTTAA